CACCACCCCTTTCCAGCTGCCAATTACATGGACATTGGCCCACACCAAACAGGAAAAAAAAAATCACACAAAGAGAAAAGCCACACCCATTTAAAGTGGCAGAGGAATGATAGTCTGTCACCCCTGTTACAGTTACAGTCTAATAAAGCCTCAGACAGAGCAGAGCCTAAAGTTAGCGTCACACCCCAAGGGAATGTTGTTGATATCAGCTGCAAGACCTACCGCCCCATCAAACTATAACGGTGACTCATTGGTTCACTTATTTTTCTCAAGTCACCCGGTTGCCCCATTATTTTCTATTGGCAAGTACCTGAACCAGCAAACATTTTGAGGCATTTAAGCTGCATTTTGAGGTGGAGGATACCTGTCGTATGGAGATGTTTTTGCTTTGCCTGAAATGCCCCACAGTATGGCATTAAACTTCTGTCTTGCATCATAGGGCTTTCTTATTGCTCAAAAATACCACAAATTTTACCAGCAACTTGGCTTAGTGACGTCTCCTGTTGGTTTCCCTTGGAGATAGATACAAAAATTGCAGACCCTCCATTAGAAAAGTCACATAGTGCACCTTTAAGTATTTTGTTCAAACCCATGTACTCAATCCTCGAAGTAAAAAGCTCTGTTCTACGTTCAGTGTGAATCAGGCATCACAAGAAGAAACAGCTTGTCCGTGGCTTTATCGCTGCATATTTAATGTTTTCTTTGTGACTATGTGAGAAGAACAGTGTGGTATTTGCATAAAAACATATGAGGTTCATTTTTTTGTTCACTTTAGACTCCACTCTGTCCCTCTTTGACTTCTCGCTGTCACTCCCGGCCTGTATACTTGTGTGTCTCTCACCTCTGTGCAGTCCTCCTTGCCCCAGGGCCGAGGTTGCCAGGTTGTGTAAATAAATTAAAGCAACAAATTATGTGTAAAAGCTTCTTCCCCAGGCTAGGAAAAAAACTACAATGCATTATTCATGGCTTTCACTTCTGGGAATCTTGATCCAGGTATGTGTTTGTGTGTCAGTTTTTTCTATTTGCCAATTACTCAAAGATTAAGTACACTTTTCAATCGTATTAGGCTCTTGATGAATTTGAATGCCATTTCCGTCTCCAACGGTAACGAAATCTACAACAATGGAGGCTGTCTGAACCGTGGTTTGAAGTGAGGAGATTGAATGTGTAAATACAAACAGAAGTCCTTGAGAATACTGGAAATGAAGCACAAAGAAATGAAAAATACTAGTTTAGCAAATCTGTCCTCTTATTTTAGATTTTTTTTTTTCTGCTAGAAGAACATATTATTCATATTCAATGTTTTGTGCTAATCATTCATCTGTAATTGCAAGCCATGACCTTAAATATCATGTTTAAAATGCAAAAACAGCTCAGATTGTAACATTAACAAAGCTACAGTAAAAAAGGTCTAAGTTTCACTGGCCTGGAGATGAAAATTGTGCAGTCATTGTGTAATCTATTCAGAGATCACTTTTTTCTTTTATTATAGATGATATGCTTTTCCATTCTGCTCCTTTTCTTTCATGGAATCACTTGACCTGATGGTTTATTCAAGTTAACATTTTCCTTCAATCGACAGCAATGGGGTTATAAAACTAAATCACTTAGCAACCATTAAATAGTCTATATTACCCTATTTTCTTATCTATGTTATAATGTTGTTTTCTTATCACAAACATACTTCGAGTTGTGTTTTGTTTTGTTCACACATTTTGAACACACAAACCCTGCATATTTAGGCTGAATTATTCTCTCAAACGGAAAACACGCTGTTGCACCTTGTGATGTCATGTGGTAATTCAGGAAGTGCTCCACTGTGTTCCTTAAATCCATACACCTTCACTTGAATAATTTGGATGATTTCAGTCCTGCAATTGCCAATCTTCACTAAACTAAAAGTAAAAGTTAGCTGTTAACTTGAAAACTTCCACTTCATGACATCACAAAGTGGAACAGAGCATTTTGAGCTTTGGAGATGAACAGACTAATAATAAAAGAATACTCAAATATGTGTGAAAGAAACAAAACACAACTCTGGGTATGTTTTTGATGAGAAAACAACATTCTAACAGTCAATTGTGCATAATATAGGACCTTTAAGATATAGAACTGACCATTAGAAGGCCCTGTCCCGAGGTTTGAGAAACTCCATCTATCTTCATCTATGTCACTAATGGAAAAATTCACATTCACTTTAACCACGTCCAGCACTTAAGCTCAATTTCATAATATCGTATCAAGTTATTAAGGATTTCCGCTCCTCTGCTGGTTAGCTCCTGTGTGTCCATTAGCGCTGTAATAAAGTTATGATTTCATTTTAATTCCATTACTGCGTACCCCTGAAGCAGATCGCGGGACAGGCCATTTTAATTAAACATGAATGTAACCTTATTTATATTTGCACTAATGTCGCCGTCAGACAATGAGCCCCAATGAAGATGCTTTCATGTGCCGTGGGAAATTGCATTGCTGAATAATGTAATAGTGGTAATGAGATAAGAGTGATGAGAATACCGCCCTATGCTGGAAATATATGACCCTTAATGACATAAAGAATTCTGGGCATGTGCGGAAAATAATGAATGCGTAAATTGTTTGTTAAAGACCATTGATTTTATAATTTCATGCACACCAGTAAAGCAGGGTCTTATACCAGGCTTTAATGACAATCTGTTATGCTGGGAAATGTAGGGTAAACAAAGCAGAACTGTTTGTACAGAAGCCTGGAAGGACAACTCAAAAACACATAGCAAGGTTGTTATAGCAGGTGACACAATGCATCAGAACAGTATACACTTCGAATTTTAATCAAGGACAATAATGAATAATAATATATTTTTGCATATAATGGCACTGTCTTGTAGCATAGTAAGTTTACATTTACAAACACATCATCTTAGCTGGTGATTTGACAAAATGTATGACTTGAAATTGTTTAAACTGTATGTGCTTTTTGTTTGTCTAAAATAATAATAAATGATGATTGCAGCAGAGGAAGCATGAAGTCCTAAAAATAAGTTGCTGGTTTGAATTCTTTTACAATATGTCCATGTTCAAGACACTTCTGCCTCCTACTATTTTCAGTTATTGGTACAGAGGAGTAACCGTGGGTGTTCTTTGCATACTTTATAATCTATAGTTTTTCAGATTTATTTATTTTTTTTACTTAAAACTGCATTATGTAGCATTTCTTAGTGTATTAGTGTTTGCCACCTGCTTGTCTCCATGGAGAGATTTTATTGCTTTGCCTGCAGTGTTCCGCAGTATGGCATTAAATGTATGTTGCATCTATTTCATTGTGTTTTTTTAAGTGCCAATGCCAATAGAGATATCTTCAAAAACATGGCAACTAAATTGAGTTCTACACATTATCAGTCTGTGCCATGATGACTATTTGAATCTGATTGGTCAAAGCTTCACAACAGCGGAACAAGCCAAAAAATGAAACTTTAGTTACATCCAGTTGATAGAAAAGCACAGGAATCTTTCATATCCGCAAATACACAAAGCACTTACCTTTTTCACAAACAAAACAGTCCATATTGACGCTAAAACAGGCCGAAGTATGTCTGTCAACATCATTTGTTTTGGTTCGTTTGGGTGCCTGGCTTTTGGCTTCAACAGAAACCTCAATGCTGCTCTGTGATTGGTTGCCCACCCAATTAACGGTACAATGGGCGAACTCCAAAATGGATTCTTATGAGATTGTGAACTCACAAATTATAGTGAAAATCACTTGTACACTTCCATACCATAATCCTGAGAACTTTGTATGCACCTGTCAAGACATAATAGCTCCAACCATATGATTCACATCAAATTTAGCATAAAATTGCACTTTATTGGTGCCTGACATATGTTGGATCAAAGCGTTACTCAAAGTATGTAATTTTTCTCCTCGAACTTACTCATTATAGTTCTTATATGTATCTCATGACATGCACAGTTCAGTTCATTTTCCCTGTTCTCAAATGCATCCAGGGCTGTTTTTCCTTTAACTGTACAGCAGGTCCTCTTTATCTCAGAACAGAATGATGAATTTTCAGATTTGGTATTTTCTCCTTGTCTGCGCCACATTCAGGGTCCCTCTGGAGTCACACGGCGGGCTGATATGAGACAGACTTGCCGTGGGGTATCGTTTCTTATCTGCGTAATGTCTGCGTCCTCCGGGCATCAATGTTCATCTTTTCTACAAGATACCTGTTATTACTTTATAACTCTGAAAATGTCAGGGTGAGCGGTCACGTTAGGAAAAAAAACACATATTCTACAAGGACAGATGAAAAATATGACTTCAGAGTGAGCATGTGAGTTTGTTTAAAAGAAAGTGAAGCCTCAGATCTGAATACTCTTTAAAATATTATTGGCCTTGACAGCATCACACGTCCTTTAACATTTTTATATTACGTTCACTCTGTTGTATATTTCTCAAACTGTATTATCTTCAATGCTTTCTAATGCCTTTTCAGTACTGGATGAAAACACTACCTTTAGAGCTGCATTATGTAACTTTTGGGATGACGTCTGTTCTTACTTGTCTCTATGGAAATGGTTTTACTTTGCTATCAATGTTCCACAGTATTACACAAATCTATATTGCATTTATTCAGCTGCAAGTGCTGTACCTTGAAAAATGTGGGTTCTATCAGCAGGCTGCAAATCTGACCTTTAACTCGGACTGGTGGTGTCACCCGTTTGTTTCTATGGAGATAGATACTGTAACGCCATACCGTGATGAATTCCAGGCAAAGCAATAACATTTTTACGAAGACAAGCAAGTGGTGGATCCTTCAGCAGAAAAGTTACATATTATACCTTTAAGAAATTTTAATTTAAGAAAAGAATTTATGTTTTAATTAGACCATTTTTCCCAGAGTACATTGTAAAACCCAGAACCCAGAAGTAAGGGTATTGCTGATGTTTTTAGACTCCTTTATGGTTTAGTAGTTTAAAGTGACAGTTCAAGCAGGCGCATTAGAAATAACAAAAACTCAGTGTCCATTTTTATATTGTATTTTCACATATTTGAATCAACAAAAGTTACAAACAGAAGAGTTTTCACAGTGTCCTACAGGCTTTCAAAATGGCTCGTTATTCAAAACAGACACAGAAACACAGCGGTCATATAAACTACAGTACATCATTTCTTTTGTCTCCTGTCTCCTATGTCCTTGTCCACTCTTCCTCCTTCTCTCCTTCGCTCCTTTACTCCTCATCCCCTTCGATCCTCCCTCTCTTCTCTCTCAGAGCTCCTCGCTGTGAAAAGCTGAACAAGAGCATTGCACTGTTTATTGGATTCCCTTTTACAATAGTGTTTTGCAGCAAAGGCTATATTATTCAAATTGCAATAGCGGCTCTGTAGCGCGTAACGAATGTGAGTTTTTCAATATATTTCTAAGATGTACCAGCCCTGAACCTTCATCTATCCATGTTTATCTAATTATCTGAATCATTACTCTAATAATTGCTGTGGGTGTATTGCTAAATAGGACATAGTCACTTATGCTTAGATCTATGGTTTGAATCTAGAAGTTTTTCAGCTTCGCCTAGACTTGGAAAAAATAAAGATAATTTATGATTGGCGCTAAAATGTCTGAATATTGATAAGACAAGACAATAGCCCTTTTAACTGTAATTATGCAAATGGTTACTTTTTAATATTAAGGCATTACAGTCAAAACGCATTAGTGTCAGTTGTGTGGGGAAGGCAGAGGCATGGGAATTGTCAGTGGACTATTATGCATGATTGAAGAGTAAACTAACCAAAGCATCATTTCCATACATTTGACATGTTTAAGTGTTAAGTGTTAAGTGGCGTTAATGTAAATTGTTAGCTTTAGCTTTAATGTTAGCCTAGAGCACTCTGTGTTCTGTTGGAGTTAGCTTTGGCCATTCAAAAAAAATGAAATGTTGACAGCTCTATTTAAATATTTGATATAATTTTTTTTTTTTTTTTTTTTTTGATACAAACCACCACACATCTTTAGATTTAATATTATCTTTTAAAAATATGTATACTTTAATTTAACATAAAATATTTACATGAAAATCATAATGTATAGTATATTTAAAGGGTCCATATTATGCTGCTTTCTGATGTTGTAATGTTGTTTCCTCTTCAAAAGCATACCTTGAGTTTTGTTTCATTCACACATGTTTAACCAACAAACCTCGCATAGTTATCCTCTCAAACTTCCTATATTCCTATATTCAGTTCCTGTATTCTACCTTCAGTAGAATCATTTGGATGATTTCCTGGAATTGTCAATCTCTACTGAACTAAAGGTAAAAGGTAGCTGTTAATTAGAAAACATCATGATGTCACAAGGTAAAACAAGTAATTTTAAAAAGTAATGTTTGCTCGTTACTTGTTACTTTACTTAGTTACCCTCTATGGAAAGAAACTTTTTACATTACTCATTACTTTTTGGTGGTAAACTCCATCTAAGGCTAAATACCGATAGTTGATAGTCAACAAGTACCCTAAGGGAAAGTTTAAAAGAACCATGAAGACAGGATTCAAGAGGACGTGAAACCAGTAAAAGGTAAATGGTTGGGGTCCACGCAGTCTGCCCCTGGAGAATGCATCAATTCAGCAGGCGAAGGACAGCTGCTCGGTGCGGGAGGATCCGCGTGAGGGACCTGCTCCCGCTTCCTCCGAGGCAGTGCTCCGCAACCAGCTTTGGGTCGGCCAGGAAAGGCTTGAGGTGTGCTTTACAGTTCCTCCCGCCTCTTCCTGGGGCTGTTAGTGCCCAATGCATCCTCTCCACCCGGGCAGGGAGGTGTCTCCCTTGCTCCCGGCACAACTGTCAACCTGGACAGACTGTCCTCCCCAACGGTATTACACTACACAGAAAAGTAACGTTGCGCCAAACTGAAAAAAGGCACTACATTTCGTTACCAAATTTTCAGTAGTAGTGCGTTACACTATTTTTACCTGGAAAAAGTAGTTGCATTATTCTAACGCATTACTAACATTGACACTTTCTAATGCGTTACTTTGTAGCTTTGTCAGCGTTACTTTCTGACTTACTTTGTAACTTTGTTTGTTTGTAACTCCTTACACCCAACACTGGGTGGAACAGAGCATTTTGAGCTTTGTAAATGTAGATAGACTAATAATAAAGAGTTATTCAAACATGTGTGAATGGAGCAAAACAAAACTCCAGGTCTGTTTTTGATGAGATAACAACATTCTAACAGGGCAGCTCACAAGAGTCAATTTTGCGTAATGTAGGCCCTTTAAATAGGGTGACCATTTCATTTTTTTAGTGATGAAGATGGTAATAGTGTTTGCTGCTATGTCAGGGCTTTAAACTAATCTAAATTTATGTTTCTGCAAGCTGAAAGAAATATTTTTAGTGTAATTGCGTCAGAAACAAAAATATCATCAAAAAAATCTCCAATTTGCTTGAACAACTTTAGAACAATGTCTCTTAGTTTTAGAGTAAAAACACATGTCATGTGTTTCTAACTCTTACAATGACTGCTTTGGCCATCGTAGCAGTAGTGTTATAGATGAGTGAGTTCTGGTGTTTAGCGCTGTGAGGGATGCTGTCTTACATGTGAACTGGTCAGTTAGCTGGTGAATACCTTCCTCCTCATCTTCGGGAGCTACCAGCCCAGCTACCAATGACCACAGAGTCTGCAGCCAATCAGAGCTCTCCTCAGGACGTCACCGCACTCGCCACTGCCACTGCCGCCTTCAATGGACGAGCAGCTAAAACAGGAAAGACTTATGTAAGGGTTCAATTACAAGCTCCAAGTGACATCTAGAACAATTTATATTTGTATATACAGTTGTGTATGAGATTCTCTTCCATGGCATCACTGTAAAGAATAGGTCAGAGGGATTGTGGGGTCGCTGACTTCAAGGCTGATACAAACCAATTAAATGTTGTATTAGCTTTGTTGCCATATACCAGACACAATTTAAAGACAAGGCCCTGGTAGCCTATGACCTTAAGCTTATTAATATAATGTTATATGCTTTGAAAGCAATGAAAAGGTAATTAATAGGAGGATGTTGGCTCGCATTGTTGGCCTATGTAACTTTTCTGGTGGAAGGTCCTGCTTGTCTCCATGGAGATGTTATGGTTCACTGTACAACACTGAATTAATCTATGGACACTCCCAAGGTGCATCATGGTCACATTTTTATAAAGTGTTTTTCCACCTTCAAGGGACTTAAAGCCCTTCACATCACCCATTCACACACACATTCATACTCCAGTGTACGCAGACACTGGGAGTGACGTGGGTTAAGTATCTTGCCCAAGGACACAATGACAGCATTCATCTGTGGGAGCAGAAATGGCAGTGGATCTGACCTGTCTAGCAGTGATGAATACTCAACCACCCGAGCTACTGTCACCCTCATTATGCCAAGTTACAGGTAGAACTGTAGAGAGGTGAACCCACCCACAGCAATAAAAGAGAAATAAAAACACTTGTAATGAATAAATGCATGTTAGAACTATTGTGGAACAGTAAGTAAAGCACCTGCTAGTCTTCATAGAGAATAACAGGTGACACAATCCACCAGAAAAGTTACATAGTGTAGCTTTAACCAAGAGCCATTCTTCTTTGACTGAAATAGATGGGTTCAAGTTATGAATCCTGAGAGAGCAGTAAACTTTAACACTAGGCGTAATATTTAATAGCTGTTTGAATGAGAATAGAGAGCACTTGCCTCGAGCCTTCACTCCTCTTTTTCCAATGGACGAGGGAGGGGGCAGACCTGCACCACATAAAACACAATATCAACACAGGGACAGCATGTAGTGTGAGGGTGGGCCACACGGGATCAGAGGGGGCGGGCGAATGGGGCACACAAGTTCTCAAAAAAAGACAAAAATCATGCAATCACCCGTAATCACCGAGCATTCGGGGGTCAATTTGCAACTCAAAAGAAAACCGTAACAAAGCCAGCATATTGTAGGCATAATCACACAGGTCATGCACAGGACATGCAGATCCAACACAGCCACAAAACACAAGCTCTCAGCCAATCTTCTGTCCAATCACGGAAATTATCTCATGCAGTAATTTGACTCAAAGGAAAAGTTTAAAATTCATTGTATGAGAACGAAGAAACATCAGCTTCATCTTTGGTCTTGTTTGGCAATTGTATGAGAAGCTTCCCAACAACATAAAAAAAAATAAAAAAAATCCTCTCTTCACAATCTAAATACACACAAAAGTACACACACAAACACTGGGCAATCAAACATCAACTGTTCTTCAAAATATTCAAAAAGGGTATCTACAGACCTCAAACTTTTATATATCGTTTTTGTCACTTATTTCAGATACACATAGAGCTTTCGAGCCTTTTTTTCTTGACAGACAGGTAATGAATATACATATGATCAATAAAATCTCCAGCTATTTCTCCTCTCCTCCTCACAAAATAAATTTATATCATAGTTGTTTTTTTAAATGCTGCATCCATTCAGGAACAGATCTTCATATATACGTAAAGACTTTGACTCTACTTGTGTTAATTCTAGGGCGGAAGTAAAGTTGACTAAAGATATTCTTGGTTGACTAAAGACATGTCCTGTACTTCAGTTAACCATAGCATGCATGAAACTTGCAAAAGCTCTCTAGGATACTGTACAAAAACTATTTTGTGAAAAGGCAAGAATTAAACTCTCAAGTTACTAACCAAAATCTCCAGATAACTCTGCATGGTTTCTTCCTTCTGCTTTGGTCCATAAAAATCTTTACAACTCTAAAATAATTAGTTGACTGAAAAATATTTGGTCAACTAAGGTACCGTTGACTGACAAAATTATCAGTTTTATCACGTATCATGTAATTAGAGCCCGACCGATATATCGGTTGGCCGATATTATCGGCTGATATGGGCACCTCGAGGCATATCGGCTATCGGCTATGGGTCCGTCACGAACGAAATGACTCTTAGAACCGGCTCTTTGAAGCGAACGACGGGAGCCTGATCCTTATTGGGAGCCGTGTTTTCTCTTTCTCTCACTTTTTTTCTCTTCACGCCGCGTGCAGATTCGTGGTTTGACAGCGGCAGCGGCTAAAAACGAAACTTTGAGAAATTTGCGTGTGCATAGGATAAAAAAAAAAAAAAAAAAAAAAAAAAAACGAGCATATTTGGCTGTAGTTTAGCATAAAATAAATAAGTCCTGGTTTAGACCTTTTTCAGTCCTGGTTTAGACCTGGTTCAGTCCTGATTCAGTCCTGCCTTAGACGTGCTTTAGACCTGCTTGCAACAAAACAATCTGAAGAGCCGCTTGGGAGCCAAAAGAATCAGCAACTTTTAGTGAGCCGAGCCAAAAGAGCCGGTTCTCTCAAAAGAACTGGAATACCCATCACTAGTGTCTAGAATGTGATGCAAAAATGCCATTAAGCCAACCTACTGTCTGTAAATATGATGTAAAGAGTCAGAATAACAATAAATGTTGCCTAAATAAACCCAATTTAAAATCCACCAGAGCCAAACCTAAGTTTTTAAACAATTCAACATTTACAGTGAATTTTTACATCACTAAATATATCGGCGATTATATCGGCTATCGGCAGCTTAAACTCCCATTATATTGGTTTCATATCGGCCACAGCAAAATCCATATCGGTCGGGCTCTACATGTAATTACTGTAAAACATCCACAAAACTGATCTTTGACCCAGTATGCTATGCTATTAAATCTTATGAGTTAAGAAGATAACTTTAAATGGATTCATTTGTTAACTTTATGCAAAGTAAAACATAATCCCTTTTTAATGTTTTGCTATCAAACAAACAGACCAAGAAACAAACTCCCCAAAACTTTGACTGTTGTAAAATATGAACAATAATTTGCATTGTGTAACATTTCTGGTCCATCACCTGTTCCTGAGGGTCTTCTACTTGTTTGTCTCCATGGAAATAAATGTTGCTTTGTCTAGAATGTGCCAAAGTATAGATTAAACCTAAATCTATCACAGGCTACAGGTCACAGCACTACACTACATTACAATGCTCATCTGTGGAGGGTCGCCCCTATTCACAGAAAGGATTATTGTATGTTTGAGCAACAGAAACACCTGTATAGAATAAATGCTATATGGATATGTTTAATGTCATACCATGGAACGTTAGAGGGAAAGCAATTACATCTCCATGCAGACAAGTAGATAGCAGACGTTCCACATTGCCCAGTCCACCTTTAAGTAAATATAAAATTATGTAACACTTGTAATCCATATTTGCCTCCAACCAACGCAGAAATCAGTTCTTTAAGCTGTGATGGATCAATCATAGACGGGCCACTTACCGCTAACTGTGGCTGTTACAGAGAGAAGCAACCTATCAAAGAATCTGTAGATGTCTCTCCAATTAATGCTGACAAGAGAGAAGAAAACTAAAACCAATAATGTTTTTGAGATGACGTTAAAGCACTAATTGCTGTCATACAAAGACACATTATATAACCTGACTAAACCCCCAAAACACTTAAATTGGCTTTATTCAAGTTTATATTTGGCGGCCACACCTGAATTTTAGGCATATTCGGAAAGTCTCTCAATGAATCTAGTGGTATCTTATATTTTACTAAAATTTTTCTTTATATATATATATATATATAGAGAGAGAGAGATTTTCAGATATTTTTTGGAATAACTCAGACATAGAGGTAAGACTGGGAGATTTCCATTAGCTAGTTAAGGTTTCTGTAAATGACAGCATGAAGATACATGTGAAAAAAATATTTAAAGGTACACTGCTGATGGGCTGCCTGAAAGGTTCCACAGTATGGTATAAAAAAAAAAATCTATATCTATCTATCTACCATGGAGGCAAATGAAGCCACCAGGTTAAAAGACAGATCTGTGGAATGGCGATCCTGAAATAGATGAGAGATTGTGCTGACTTTTTTAAACCAGCCTTAAAGAATATACTGTCCTATGTGTTTGTATTTTTTTTTTCACAATGACCAAGCCTGATCAAGCCTAACCCAACAGGGGCAAATGCAGAGGATCAATATTTCAGTGTACCTTAACATTAACCTAGAACTGCTCTCTACAATGTAGGCCAGGCAAAGTAGAAATAAATTCTTTTAAATTACAACTCTAAACACATGTAAGTACTTCAGACTAGTCCATTATAATGGGTCTATTTTTCTCACTTATATTGCATTAGATGTTCTTTCAGTTTGTGATGTATGCAGTCACCATGGCAACATAATTAATGCTGTTCATTCACTACAATGGTTTGCCTGATGCAAGTACTGAAGATATAGCCTATACAATTTGGCATCATAATATTACATTTACAACCTGCAGCCACAGTATTATGAATATGAGCTGATTGGGTCATAATCAATATATATCAATGCAGAAGAAGTTTGTTTTGGGTTTTTTGTCACTTTTTAATTTAATTTGCTATTTATAACATTACACTGAAGTGAAAGTCAATATTTCCAACTTCTGAAACAAAGCAAAATCAAAATTCTTATTTGAGGTTCCAGCGTCCTTTGCTTTTGTGGAACAAGTAATTGGGAACAAGGTCTACAGTGTCTCCGCCGAATTTGAAATGTGAGTGTAATAAGTGACAAAAGCAGGAGAGCTATTTTGGTTTGACCCACTGTGACTCATGCTCTCACTATCTTCATACTCGCCTACTGATATTAAAAGTGACAAACACAAGTCATACGGACGAGTACATAGCCAGCCAGTTCTCTTGCACTCATGGGAAGCTTGGCTGAATTCTATTAAAGAGAAGGTATTTTGCTTCTATGGGGTATTAACTGCTAGCACATAACATATTTGGATCACCATGTTACTTTTATTGTTTTGTATTTTGAAAATGCTATATTTATAAGTACTTTCTTTCTGAGCCTCCCCTCCCTTTGCTCCCCACACTAAGTCACTCCCCATTCAGTGCACTATGACAACTCAATCATCCTGCTAATGAAACTACTGCACATTGAATCAGGTTCGTGAAGTTGTCCTGTACAGTTTTGTATCATGTTTTTTGTGTATTTATGGAGAATTGTCGTATGGTATCATAGTTTGAATAGGGTCCAGGAGAGATTGTTAATCTACTCAAACATGGATCACATCTAAAGCCTCTTCAGGCACATTTTTGATAAAAGAATAAAGTTATAACATGATAGAAAGCTAAAAACTATTGATTTTGCTTAATACCCCCTCTTTTGTTAGCCAAGCTGGAGCCACCTAGTGTCTACCTTCAGTTTAATTTCTCTCCAGCGACTAGGTCAAGAATTGGAATACACTAGATGGTTTGCAAGAACCCTGGAAGTGCGAGTCCGGGCACCAACCAATCAGCATAAAGAGCAAGAGTGTTGGCAACGATTAAAGAGATCAAGGATTTAAAGCCAGAACAAAAAGAATGTTTGGTGAATTTTATCAAGGAGAAAGACATTATTACCCTTTTTCCTATGAGATCTGGGAAAAGCTTAATATACCTGTTAGCACTGTTAGTGTGCATTGCATACGTCATGACCAAATAGCAGCGATTGGTTAAATAAGAAAAAGTACCCGCTTACCGTCAAGCAAAGGAATTCTAATTATGCAAGACTACTCTTTTGTATCTAAGGTTCAAACATTTCACCTTACAGATCAATCAAGTCTAAGATCTACTGGTTGGTGAAAGGTTTATTTGTCATTATACTGTAAATATAATTTGAGAGGATCAGATGGAGGGATTAGAGATATTTTTTACAGACAACAGAAACGTAGGCACAAGTAGAACATGTCGAA